GAGTGTTTTTGTTGCTAGAAGACTTTCAAGATCCTTTTGTTTAAGTGTAGGAACATTTCCAACAGTTCAGAGCCTAGCAGGATAATGACCGGTCAATGAACTGAGTTCCATTGTTTGACTGATTTGTAGCAGAGATGCTCATTTATTCAGCTATATTTTTTCTCTATTCCTGCTCTTTCTCTATTCTTTATTCATACTGTTGGGTAATGATGGTTAAAATAAATAATTTTATTTAGAATGAGGGTTCATATTTTCCAGCTCAGTTGGATCTTTAAAACTGCTTTGGGGGCGCCTGGCTGGCTCAGTTGGTTAAGCATCTGATTTCGGTTCGGGACAAGATCTCAGGGTCCTGGGGTCAAGATCTCAGGGTCCTGGGGTCGAGTCCTGCGTCAGGCTCCTTGCTCAGTAGGGTGTCTCTCCCTCTGCCTGCAACTCCCCCTGCTTGTGCGCTCTCTGACAAATAAATAAAAATCTTAAAAAAAAAAAAAAAAAAAAGGATCTCAGGATCCTGGGATTGAGCCCAGCAATGGGCTCCTCCCTCTCCTTTTCTCTCTCTCACAAACAAACAAACCTGCTTGCTGGTCTTATTCCTGGTCCCATCCTAACCTCCCAGATGGTAACTTCACTTCTGCTTCACTGAGAAAATTATCCAAAATGAACTCCTTTCCCTTCATATCCCTTCAGATTTGCTCCCCCCCCGCCAGCCCCACCACATTGCTGTGGTCTCAGTGGAACATGATGAGCCTCTTCGCTGAAACTTTGGACTTTTGTTTTTCTGAGGGTCTTTTTCCCTTTCTCCCCTATAATTTCAGTCTTTCCTCAGCTTATCTCCTTAGCTGGCCAACATGCTCCAGTGTCCCTCCAGAACCTACCCTCCTCAGGCTGTAATTGCTCTTTTACTTCTACCTGTCAAGAGGTTATTTTGGACTGTGATGCTGAGCAGAACCAGACCCATAACCACTGTGAGCAGGCAAGGTCCGTATCTAACATGGCCAGGCTACCGTGTGCAGCCTTGCGGGCGTCCAGTGTACCCTCAGACCTCGTGTCTTCTCGGGCTCCGCCTGTGCTGATGCTCCATCTGCCCACTCAGAGCTCTGTTGCTTGAGCTTGGTGCATCCACAGCCTGCCCCAGTCCCTGCCACATCAGCTGCTTTCCCTCGCACCTCACTGTATCTTCCCAGGGCCTAGACTGTGGCTTTTGGCCCTTTAGGCTCCGCAATCCCCGTGGCTTCTTATCCGCTGGGTCCCATCTGTCCACCTGGTTCAGCAGTGCTGGTGGAAGGAGGGTATTTGGCAGGTACCAGATTCAGAGCTGGGGCTACTGGCAGCACTCCTCCTCCACCCCCAGGATGCCTTCCCAGGGCTGCTCAGCCTACAGTCACGCAGGAAGCCAGTGTCCTTGGAACCCAGTGGAAGGGGAACCTCTTCATGGGTGGCTTAGATGGTAGCTCCAGGATCTGGTGAGGAACCAGACCACCAGTGCTGGGAAGGACCTCACGTACCTTCGGCACTGTCACAGTTTAGCTGCTTTCGTCCTGTCAATCTCATGTTTCACTTCAGACACCTCTTGTGGGGTCTTTCTGGTGCCCAAACTTTTGGACACTTTTCAAATTTAATGAGACACCATATTATGGTAATCAGTATCTCCCTGAAGCATTTTGATGTAGGGGAGGTAGCCATTCATAAACTAATGTAGGCGAAGCAGCCCTAAGGATCTTCCTTAAATTCCTCCGGAATTATACTATACCACACTGGTCTTTGCTTTTAGTAATGAAATATCAAATTAGGCTTGGAGGGAACTTTCTTCTTCCTAAGAATTAAAGTTGCCAAATGACTCTGATTGGTCTTTAGTCTCCTTTAAGTCTTTGATTTATAGTACATGTCATAAGTAAAACGCTTTAGTTGTCTGACTTTGCCTTTCCATCCTTTGCCCCATGTCCCATCCTCAAACCTTGTCTTCTATTCCCTCCCGACATTCTCCATTGAATCAGAGTTGCGGGACAGGCCAATCAGACTAACTTCCTTCTCTCCTTGCACATCTCCCCGCGTGCTGTCTTTTAACTAGCCTTTCACAAAGATCCTCTGAAACCCCTTCGGTACCCTAAGCACAGACCCCATTGCTTCTGCTATTGCATCTGCCTCTTAGACCCTCCTCATAGGTTGTTTCATCAGACATGAGCCAAACCTAAATTTGCTTTGGTGCCAGAAAAACTGGGGTTCAGTTGAACAAAGAACATCAATACAAACTGTACTGAAAACAAGTTTGTTTAAAATCTGAGGGGCAGTGAGGAGAATGCCTTTCAAAAGCCTTTCAAAATCCTTTCAAAAGGATGCCTTTCAAAAGTCAAAAAACTTTAGAGTCAAATAAAGGGGAATTTTCACATCAAAATTTGGTTGCCATGTGTTGTCAGCCTGCCTGATGCAGCCACTCATGGCTCCCAAGAATTCCTGAGCTGGGTTAATGGGGTCATATTGTGAATGCCTCACCTCCAAGTGATTTGAGTCCAGTGAAATCTCATTAGGGTTAAGAATGTTTGGGATCCTTAGTACTTTGATTTTTGTTTTCGGAAATTGGGCTTTATCTTATAATTTCAGTTCATCTAAATATTGTGTTCTGTACGTGTAGTGTTTGGCTATGCCATTAATTATTATGGAAATTCTCTGTTGTATGTTTCTCTTTGCACTGTGGCGCACTTGTGGATTTTTTATACTCAAAATGTAGAATAAAGACTGTTTTGAAGATTTTAATAAAGTGGTGACACTACATTACAGAAAAAATAAAGGTTATTTTCTCCACAATCCCCAGTCCCCACAATCCAGGTGTCACCATCACTGTCATCCCATCAAACTACTTGCACAGGCCACTGGTGCCCTCTTTTTTGGCAAATCCAGTGACTTCTATACTGTCAACCTACTTTCCCACCCTTCAGCATGACATTGTTGCTAATACCCTCTTCCCAGAGCTTTTCCTCTCTTGATTTCCCTAACACCACTCTCCTAGGTTTTCTTTGCCTCTTTTTGCTCCTCCTTCACCACCTTCTCTCTCAGACCCCTGACTGGAGGTGCTTTATGGTGCCCTGTCCTGGGTCTTCACTTACTCTGTAGTTGGTCTGTGGACTGTGATATCCACTCCCATGGTTTTGTAAAACTCCTTGCTAACACATCCAGCTCTGGTCTTTTTCTTTAGTTCTAGGTCACACTAGAACTAAAACTAAAACTAGACAAATGGCTGAACAGAGATCTCTTCGTTGTTCCAGAAGCACCACAAACTCGAATTCAGATTTCAAGTAATATATTTTTCCCAAACAGGCTGAAAACCTGACACTGAGCCCTGACTCTTCTCTTCTTTCACCCTGTCCCCACCCAGCTGAGGCGTCAGGTCCTGTTGACTATACCTGAGGGTGACCAGGAGCATTTCACATGTCCAGCTCATTGCCAGCCCTGCCTCATTTTTTCTTACCTGAGAGCATATCACTCCTTTCCTTGGTTGCTTTTAGGTGTCCGCAGAGTCACGTGCAGCCTTGTAGTTGGGGCCCATGTGGTCTTGTCCTGATGACCCAGCCTCATGTCCCACAGCCTCTCATGCAGCCATTTCCTAAAACTCCGTAATTTTTGTTCTTCTGGTCTTTTACTTAGGCTGTTCCTGCCCTGCCTGTCCATTCCTCCATCGTTTTGCCTAGAAAACCCTTCAGGGCCCAGTGCAAGGGTTTCCTCCTCTGTGAAGTCATCTTTAAGTCTAGAGTAAATGTTTGGGGGATTAGGAGTAGAACTTAATTACAAGTGCCTTCCTGATGACTGCCATTTGTGGAGAAATAGCTTTGTGACAGTCATCATTTTGAATACTGAATACTAGAAGCAGATGGTTAAGAACATGAGCTTTGAAGCTTTGATGGCCGAGTCCCAGCTCTGCCATTTACTAGCTGTGTAACCTTGGGCAAGTTATTTACCATCTCAGCGTCGATTAAGTCTGAGGGTTCAATGTGCCTGCCATATGGGAAGTGAGCAATAAATGGTAGCTGCTGGCACTATAAATGGAAAGATGTTCATCCCTCCTAACCCCCTGGTGAGATATTAAGTTCTGTTATCATTCCTGTTTTACAGATGGTGAGACCGAGGCATAGGGAGGCTGGCTCATGTGCTGCTTCTCCAGATGCAGCTGTGGGCCTGTGGCTCATTCATCTGTTTATTTCAGAATGTCTTTAAGCTCAACAAGTATTTACTGAGTTGAACTGAAAGATGAATCTGGAGCTCCCAGGTCAGACTGAGAGGGGAAACTTAGAAATTGTTACCTGCACAGGGGTGGTAACTGAATAAGTTCTTTTTTTCTTTTAAGTCCTATATCACCTTGGAGAGTCCACACATTTCAGCCACCCCTTTAGCAATGAGCTAGATATTACCTTGTGACAGGTGATAATTATTGCCTTCAACTGTTACTTGCATGTTTGTTAAAATTTGCTTGTATTTGTCTTCTTTCCCCAACTGGATTGTGAACTCTTTGGGCAGAGGACTGTGTCTTATACCTCTATACATGAGCCCCCTGCCCCCTTCTAGTCCTGGTTTTTGTTTCGAAGATAACAAGTCAAAATCTGATGTTTAATATTAATCTCAAAAAGGAATTCTCAGCCATGTCTAAGTGATACCAACCAACCAAGATTATTTTATTAATCTTTACTTTCTATAATCTGGATTAAGAAAGTTATTTTCTTCGTATTTTTCAGATAAAATTTATTAACACTGCACCTCTACTATTTGTTATATTTCTTTTAATCCATACCTCTGTTGTTTTTAGGATTCTAATGCACATTTGTACCCTCTAAGAGTCTCTGACATAGGCTCTCCTATTCCCATTCTCTCATTTTACAGTTGAAGAAACTGAAGGCCATGTTCCAGCTGGTTCTCCCATTTGTTATCTGACACAGTGTTCTCTAAACAGCTTGGTCAAGACTCAGGATTCTGAAGGGAATAAGAGTTTCAAATGCTTTGTACTTTTCTTTTGACAGAGCCGAAAAGCTTCAGCTGCTGAATCACAGGCCTATGACTGCTGTTGAGATCCAGCTGGTGAGTGAGGGAGGCTTGAACGTGAGGGGATTGGTTTCTGGATCTGAGAGGGAGGAAGGGTAATAAAGACTGAGAACAGACAAGGCTGGAACTGCCGTTTCTTGAAAAGACTGCCCGACTACCCCCATTTCGTCAGTGAAAGGAGACCTCACCAGTTTGATCCTAGTTAGTATGGACTTAGAGAAAGTAGAAGACTAGAGGAAATTTAGTTCCTTCCTTAGGGTTTGGGCCTGCGTCTCAGCAGCTCTTTGTCTCCCTTGATGTCCTGCCCCATTCTGGCCATTGCTTTCCTGCAGGGGTTATTGCCAACCAGATGTTGTATGAAGACAGTAGACTCACCATGACTCTGGCAGAATTTCTCCTCCCCGACTCCCACCCTTCGACCCTACTCTTCCTGTTTCTGTTCTTGGCTCACAGAGCACAAATGCACTTCCCCCCATGCTCTCTTTCTCACTCAGCCTCCTGGCCCAGTTTCCCAAGCCAGACACCTGGAAGTCATTCTCTGCCTTTGATCTCAGATGCATTAGTCTCCAGGTTCTGTTGCTTCTGTCTTCCCTTGTTCTCTCTACTCTCCCTGCTGCACTGTGTTCATTTGTCATTTCTCAGTGTGGCTCTCGCGGTTGTCCTCTCTCGTCATCCCTGCCTCAGTCTGGCTCGTCCAGTCCACCTTCTCCACCGCGGTCAGCGTTCACGTCCTAAAACCACAGACTCGATCATCTTGTTTCCGTGCATACCACCATTCAGTGGATTCTCCTCATTGCACAGTCTACACAGCAATCGCAGCATAAAGCTTTAGAATTGTGCGAGGCAGCCAGAGTAGAAGCCACACATGGTCTAAGGAGAATATGAAAATGAGGCCCAGTGAGACAAACTGAGCAGTTGCTGTGTTGGTGTCCTGGGGCAGTTTCCCTCTGCTGCAGAGGGCAGACAACACTGTTAAGCTCCAAATATTAGGCAGGCCATTTAACTGACAGTAAGAAAACTGATTGGAGAATTAACAAAATGAGAATTAAGGAGTTTGCAAAGTCAGTTTTAGAAATACTTATCCTTTGTCAAAGTTCCTTCAGAAATTTGTGGAAGAAAGTAGCCAAAAATACCTATGATGTTTAGAGTTGCTTTAAAAAGGACCCTTTTTTAAAGGTTCACGGGGCACTTAATTTTTGACTAAAACTTTTATTGTCTTCCCAGTGTTGTTTCTGTCCTTCAAAATGCACCCAAATTAAATTAGAAAAATTCCTCCCATAAAGGGTGATTTTCTGGGGGAACTGGGCTTCAGGCTAAATAGAGATCCTTTTTTTTTGAACCCTTATTCTGATGCTTTCAACTGTGTTGGAGATTCAGCTTAGAAAAGAAAAAACAAATCAGCAAGAAACTAATCCATGTCCCTCTGGGTTAAAGATCACATGTCCTGTCTCCTCCAACTTTAATCAGCAACATATGTTATTCATGGCTTAATGACAGATGGAGAGAGGAGATGAGGATTAGCGTGACCTCATCCCAGAGCCCGTAGAAAGCTCTATCATTACGGTACGATTAGCTGCTATTAAGAGTGCCCACTACAATGAATCATGGAACACTTCATCTAAAACTAATGATGTAATGTATGGGGATTAACATAAGAATAAAAAAAAAAAAAGAATGCCAAAGAGTGCCCACTATATGCAGTGGGCTTTGTATATGTCACCTTCGATGCCTTCACCGTAGTCTTTGCTAGTGAGTGGCTAGTTGGGTCTGTCTGACTCAAAGCCTTACTTTCCTCCAAGCCATGTGCTTTGCATAGAGAGAAGAAAGATATGTGTGGCGTCCCCTGAGACTATTCTTTTTCTCCTTTTCACAGGTGAGTAGTAGGTCTTGATAAATACTGTGTATGTTGTTTCCCAGCAGTCGGATCATTTTATAGTCAGATTTTCCCCAGCCTGGGATTTGGCTACAAAGGGTAGCAAAACATTTACCAAGGCTTGTCGCAGTATCTCTTCTCCCAAGAGAGGGATAAGAAATGAGGTTTTCACACAGGTTTGAAGTACAGAGGACTTGAGAATTTCCCTGCATTAACCTTACAGCCATTTATTCTCCCCGTGTCCCAGAAGTATTTTCAGCATCCAGCATTTATTAGTGTTCAGTTTTGGAGGCTGTAGCTTTTTTTATTTATACCTCAGCCATGATTTGTTGTGAGCCTCAGTCTGAAGAAATGAGGAGGCCACCAGCTTCTGTGATTTCTGCCACTCTCTGTTGTGTATTCATTCGGGTCAGTTTGTGAGCTCTCTGGCCTGAAGACAGGACAGTGAACCTCATGACCTCACAAGTCACTGTCCTGAACAGCACTACCATATATGTCTGTTATAAGTTAGTGATTATTGGGGCGCCTGGGTGGCTCAGTCGTTAAAGCGTCTGCCTTCAGCTCAGGTCATGATCCCAGGGTCCTGGGATCGAGCCCCGCATCGGGCTCCCTGCTCGGCGGGAAGCCTGCTTCTCCTTCTCCCACTCCCCCTGCTTGTGTTCCCTCTCTCACTGTCTCTCTCTCTGTCAAATAAATAAAATCTTTAAAAAAAAAGTTAGTGATTATAAAATGTCTTGGATTAGGTAGAGTTTTATGGCTTACAAAACACTATATGTTCTCATTTAGTCCTTACTGTAGGCATTACTTTCATTTTACATTAGAGAAAATTGAAATTTACAGAGATTAAGTGAAACATTCTGGGTCAGATAGCTAGAAGTGTCCATAGTTATTAGGTTTGAGTTGTTTTGTTGTTTTGGATAAAGTAGGAAGTTAGCCTTGATGGCTTAGAATGAGAAAAAACCATTTTTGGAGTATTAGCAGCCCAGTTTGACAGCCCCTAGGAATTGATATGGCCTTTGTATGTGATAAAAATTTATTGTTGACACATCTGCAAATACTTGGGATTTTTACATTTCATTCGCCCTTATATTCCGAACAACTTGAAACATTGGGTGTTTGAGAACATTGAGTTGGTGCTTTACATTTCTTTATTTGGGCTGTTTCTTCTGTGTTGGGAAGAAAAGGTGAAGAGTAATACAGTTAGTATCATTTTGCCTTGATCCAAGAGGGGTTAGTAAGTTTTTGGTTTCTGAAAAGTTTCTTTTTTGTGTATATGTGTTCATTTTGCTTAATGAAGTTGTTTTCTTGCTGTGACTGGGAATGTTAGTTTGAAAAGCAAAGTTTCTGACCCTGAGGGTTGTGTGCTGATGGAAGCTTCTTCTTGCCATGAACACATTTAGCTGACGCCTGATCATTGTTGCATCTGCCAGACCCAGAGATCAGAATGCAAGAAGATGGCCTGTTCAAGTCTTCTGTATTTGGTTTTCTAAAAATGAAGGCCTCTCGGGGCACCTGGGTGGCTCAGTCGTTAAGCACCGGCCTTCGGCTCAGGTCATGATCCCAGGGTCCTGGGATCGAGCCCTGCATCGGGCTCCCTGCTCCACGGGAAGCCTGCTTCTCCCTCTCCCACTCCCCCTGCTTGTGTTCCCTCTCTCACTGCTGCTCTCTCTGTCAAAGAAATAAATAAAATCTTAACGAAAAATAAAAATAAAAAAATAAAAATGAAGGCCTCTCAGAAGTCATATAACTAAATTCTTTCAAACCAGTGGACTCTAGTCTGCATCTCTGCGAGAGGAAAGAATAGAGGTATGGTGTTCTAGAAAGAGCTGGAATCCAAAGTCAAAAGACCTTACACTACTTGCTGTGAGACCCACATCAGGTTTTCTTCATAATGCTGAGCCTGCACTTACTCATCTCTAAATTGGCCTGACTTTATGGACCGCATGCTTGAGAAGCTCTGGTGGCAGTGATTCTGGGAAAGCCCCTGTGCAAATACTGGTGGGAGGTTGTCATTGTCCTGAGACTAGTCTGAATCTCCTTTCCCGCTTCCCCTGAGTCAGGAAACAGTTCATAATCAACTGCACGTGCCAGTTTATATATTTGGAGACATTCCCCTCTCAAATGGAGATCATCTTTTCTTAGGATTAAATAATCAAATCGGATATACCCCTTTCCAACTCCTGCATATTTTGGAGGCAGTCTATGTTAGATTACTTCCTTTTACACACCCTAATTTTGCATGTCTGGTTTTAAAAAATGGGTTTTTTTTGTTTTTTTGTTTTTTGTTTTTTTTTTTTTATTTGCGAGAGAGAGAATGAGAGACAGAGAGCATGAGAGGGGAAGGGTCAGAGGGAGAAGCAGACCCCCCGCTGAGCAGGGAGCCCGATGCGGGACTCGATCCAGGGACTCCAGGATCATGACCTGAGCCGAAGGCAGTTGCTTAACCAACTGAGCCACCCAGGCGCCCTAAAAAATGGGTTTTTGAGGATTATTTCTTGTTCAGTAGAGGTTACATTTTACGGAGCCTTTGAATCTTTAGGAAATGGTCATTTTATTTCACAGCATGATAGGAAGTAGCCCCGTTGGTTCACTCAGGAGCTTCTCCACCCTAGAACACTCAGGATTATTCTCTGGTTGTAGAAACATTTTTGGACCTAGGTGAATGAAGAGACGGATGGTTTGCCAGGAGTTTGTGATGTGATCTTGGCCACATCACCTGACTTAATTAGCTTCTCTACTGTTGTCTGTAAAGTGAGGCAGTCAGACTGAAATCCTCTTCAGGGTTGTAAGCCTAGCCTGTCATCTTGTTTTACTTAAATCTGATAGGATTTCTTTGTGGAATTCCTCTTGGTCTTAGTTGCCAGATTTCAGAGATTGCTGTGGGAAATGCCACAGAACAGAACCCTGGACACCTTTAGCTGTTTGTGATAGATAGCTGGTGTCACTAAGTGAACATGGGTAAGTAATTTGCCTGCCTGTATATTACCCTTAAAAACATTGTTGACGGGGCGCCCGGGTGGCTCAGATGGTTAAGCGTCTGCCTTCAGCTCAGGTCATGATCCCAGAGTCCTGGGATCGAGCCCCGCGTCGGGCTCCCTGCTCAGTGGGGAGCCTGCTTCTCTCTCTCCCTCTGCCATTCCCCCTGCTTGTGCTCTCTGGCTCTCTCTGTCAAATAAATAAACAAAATCTTTAAAAAAAACAAAACATTGTTGATTATGTATTCATTAATGTATCAAGAACTAGAGGTGAGGCTAAGAAAACTGGCTCATAATTGTGGATCGTCCATGTGTAGATTTCCAGGACTTGTTAGACTAGGCTTTAAGTGGACCTAATTTAGTGAGGCATCGAGGGATCATTTTCCAGCCATCACTCATCAGACTCTTGCCCCACATTTCCAGAAAATGACCAGGACCACATGATGTGTGTTAGATTGATCGTTGGTGTTAGTGTTGGGCAGGCCTGGCTTGGATTCTCAATCTGTCCTTTGCCAGAATTGTTGTGAGCCTTAAAAGAAATAACAGATATGAAGTGCTGTGTGCAGTCAGGCACATGAGCTCCCTAAAGAGCTGTTAGTGGGGGGCAGGGGTGGGGATGAGGGAAAAATAGATAAACCACTTGGCACGCAGTGAGCAATCGTCAGATGAGTTGTTGATCTAATTCATGAGTTACAGCTGTGCTTGTGAAATACAAAAGTATGTAAAGTGCCATTTCACCCCCCAGAGGTGAGTTTTCTTTGCACATACAACATATTTGTGTGTGCACGTGGATGGGTATAGAACTGGTAGGGTTTTCTTTTTTTTTTTTTTAAGATTTTTATTTATTTATTTATTTATTTTTAAAGATTTTATTTATTTATTTGACAGAGAGAGAAATAGTGAGAGCAGGAACACAGCAGGGGGAGTGGGAGAGGGAGAAGCAGGCTTCCCGCAGAGCAGGGAGCCCGATGCGGGGCTCGATCCCAGGACCCTGGGATCATGACCTGAGCTGAAGGCAGACGCTTAACGACTGAGCCACCCAGGCGCCCCAAGATTTTTATTTATTTTTTGACACAGAGAGAGACAGCGAGAGAGGGAACACAAGCAGGGGGAGTGGGAGAGGGAGAAGCAGGCTTCCCGCGGGGCAGGGAGCCTGATGTGGGGCTTGATCCCAAGACCCGGGGAAAATGACCTGAGCAGACGATTAAAGACTCAGCCACCCAGGTGCCCCTGGGTTTTCTATTTCTTTGAAGAAAAATGCTAACCTGCAACTTGCTTTTTGCCCCAACCCATTTTGAGCAGTCGCATAGGAATTGGAGCTGGCTTTTGCCTCCCTTGGAGCCAGGATGGAGAGGACCCAGAGACCCGAGGGTGCTCTGGAGCCAGGCCCCGAGCTCGGCATGCCAGAGGCCAGCGGACTGGGAACAACATGGGTGGGGAAGGTGAGGGGGACTCCGCCTGTGCAGCTCATCTGTAACCCTTAGAGGTTTTCTTCTGCAGATGGTAGAAGAGAGTGAAGAACGGCTCACAGAGGAGCAGATCGAAGCCCTCCTCCACACGGTCACAAGCATTCTGCCTGCAGGGCCAGAGGCTGAACAGAAGAAAAACACGGGTGACGTGGCGATGGATGAAGAGGACCCAGCATAGAGGACACAGCCGGCCTAACCGCCTCATGAAACTGAAAAGCCCAGCAGCCATTTCTCAGCTATCCAGAGGATTGTTCAATTGGTCTTACCCTCTATCCCAACAGGCCTGATTTCATGGTTGGTTGGAGAAATCACAAAAATAAGCTAAAAAGAAGTACTCGTGCCTCTGGGAGATGAAACATGGTGAAGACAGACTGAGGCTGTCAGGGCAGAGAGCTAGAGAGAGGACAGAGTCAAAGAGGACAATGACTGTGCAGCCCTCTGTGGTAAAAATATTTCTTCTGTGGCCTTTGCCTCAGTGGCGGGCAGGGCCCCGTACACAGCTGCTGGAACCCTTGTGTTGCCTTTGATGGGCTATGTCCTAATGAGTTTCATCTGCTTCCCTAGGAGCTTCCCAGACAGGGGCGCCGAGCGCTGTTGGGGCGAGAGCTGAGTGAGGAGAATCCGGTTAGATGGCTAGAAACTCCCAGAGCGGCACATAGTTGCTCTAGGTCAGAAGGAGCCACTGAACTTGGCTCACCTTAGAGGCAGCTTGTCCTCGAGAACATCGAAGATGAGAGAAGAGCTGCCTGGCCAACCCTTCCTCAGGTCTGCTGGCAGGGGTGTTCTTTACCAGCTCACTGTTCAGTCTGAGGTGTTAGGGCGCCAGCCCCTTCCAGTTGAAAAGCAGCCCAGCAGACTGCGGACAGGGGCGACAGAAGTCCTGCCTCGGCTGCCTTTCCGATCACCTGCCATCTCCTGCCCTGAGACAGGAGCCCTGGGCGCTCGCCGCCTCTTGAGCCCAGGTGAGCTTCACTTGCACAAGGGGCAGCTTGTTTGCATCTTTGGAAAGGGCTCAGATAGGGACGGGATATGAAGAACCAGAGGTTGATTAGTAAGAATTTGAATTTGTTGGCTATGGCAAGGTTGCATCCGTTTTTCAGTTTCAAATATTAGGACAATGACCATGTGAAAAGCTTGCTGATACTGAGGCTTTGGAGAGTTCAGTAGCTCCAGACGTGTGGTTGCCTTAGGTCCTAGGAATATTGCTGAAAATTAATTTCCCACATTCGCTCTGCTCCCCCTTTGGGGAAGAAAATGCCCACAGACATTAATTTTCCAAATCAGTACTCATTTTGTTGTGAGATTACGTATTTTCGGTGTTGCTATTAATTGGATTACTTCCCACACCCTTGCAATTCCCAGGTTATTTCAACCTCCCCACCACCCCTGCCAGTTACAGTGATGTCATTCTTAACCTTATTATCTGAGGATCAGCTGAGACCTCGTTACAGGCAAATTCGCAGGGCATTTGTTTTTAAATCTCTCTTCGGTATTGGGAGTTTTACCAAGAACCGTTGATTTATTTGTCAAGGCATCATATTTGTGTCACTGTTTCATTTTAACCTTGAGTGTATTCAGTGCATTTTCTTAATGGATTAATCTAGTTAATGATTGTTTCCAAGTGACTGCCAACTTTTGGTATTTGTATAAATCTTTGAAGTTTGTTTTGCCATGGATAGAAAGAAATAAAATCTGACTTAAAAGGTACAATGTGCACCTGGGTGGCTCGGTTGGTTAAGCAACTGCCTTCGGCTCAGGTCATGATCCTGGAGTCCCGGGATCAAGTACCGCATCGGGCTCCCTGCCCAGCAGGGAGTCTGCTTCTCCCTCTGACCCTCCCCCCTCTCGTGCTCTCTCTCTCTCTCTCTCTCTCAAATAAATAAATAAAATCTTTAAAAAAAAAAGGGGTACAATGTGTGAATTTTTTGTTAAAAAAAAGTTGAACCTATTTAGGTCTGAAATCTATTTTAGATTGCAAGAAAATTTTAAGTTTCTGTATTTGGGACCTCAATTTAACCTCAGTTTCTGATAAAGGTCATACAGTATGACCTTAAGGCTCTGGAAGACTTAAGCTTTATAGATAAGAAACCTATTCTGTATAATATTCCTGTCACATTAGTAACATTTCAGAAATAAGATATTTGCACAAGAAACTTAATCAGTATCACATCTGTGAAGGAGAGCAGGGGAGCCTGGGCCTCTTTTCATTTTATATCCTATGTGGTTTTAGTTTTTGACCATATATGACTGTTGTATTCTTTAAAAAGAAAAAAAGTACATCCACGTGCTTGTTGTCCTTGGCCTCTGTGAATGTTACTGAATGTGTACTTGACAGTTGAATTATGTCCCATATAGCGGCTGACACCCAGTGTCTGGTCCCCTAGGAGAGGCTGCTCTGAGGGGAACTGGGGCAGGCATGTGAGGGAGGCAGAGTTTTGAGAACCAATGCCAGTGTCTTGCTCAGTTACTGTAGCTAGATATATTTTTAGGTCAACCAGTCTCCATTTGTTATTCCAGACTTTCCTAGAATCTCAGTTCACTTTTTTTTTTTTTTTAGGGGAAAGCCCTAGTTTTTTTTGTTTTGTTTTGTTGTTTGTTTTTTTTTTTTTTTGAAAGCCCTAGTTTTTGACACAGGAAGATTTTTTAGTAATCTATCACAGGAAGATACCACTGAGCTCTTAAAAAATTTACTCCCAGTTAGAGGTTTACCCAGATATTTCCCTTGCCCCGTTTTGCTTAAAAGTTACAGGTATGAGGTCGCCTGGGTGGTTCAGTTGGTTAACTGTTAGACTCTTGATTTTTACTCAGATCGTGATCTCAGGGTCGTAAAATCGAGCCCCACGTCGGGCTCCGTGCTCAATGAGGAGTCTGCTTGAGATTCTCCCTCTCCCTCCCTCTCTGTCCCTCCCTCTCCCCCTCCCATGCACGCTTTCTCTAAATGAATAAGGCCTTTTTTTTTTAAAGTTACAGTATGACCTACTGCCACCTCAGAGGACTTCCCATTTATTCAGGGTTTGTTCATAAAATAATGGGTACCGTTTCCCTAATTAATAATTGTGTACCAGTTCTCAAAAGCTTACACCCTAGTGAGAAGTAAGTTAATGCTCCAGAATAGTCTTTGCTAAATCATTTTCTCCCCTGAAGCTAATTTAACCCCCACTTGTGCCACATGGATCATTTCTCAGTTAAACTATAAAACAGATCACATACTCTGAACAGAATCATCAACTTTATTACACAATGAACGAATGGGATAAGAAGTAAAACTGCTTAGAGATCCTTTTATATATTTTTAAAATTAAGATGTAATTTTCATGCCATAAAATTTACCCTTTTAAATTACACCATTCTTGGGGCGCCTGGGTGGCTCAGTCGTTAAGCGTCTGCCTTCGGCTCAGGTCATGGTCCCAGGGTCCTGGGATCAAGTCCCACGTCGGGCTCCCTGTTCGGCAGGAAGCCTGCTTCTCCCTCTCCCCCTCCCCCTCCCCCTGCTTGTGTTCCCTCTCTCGCTGTTTCTCTCTCTGTCAAATAAATAAATAGAATCTTTAAATAAATAGGGGGTACCTGGGTGGCTCAGTTGGTTAAGCGACTGCCTTCGGCTCAGGTCATGATCCTGGAGTCCCAGGATCGAGTCCCGCATCGGGCTCCCTGCTCAGCGGGGGGTCTGCTTCTCCCTCTGACCCTCCTCCCTCTCATGCTCTCTGTCTCTCATTGTCTCTCTCTCAAATAAATAAAATCTTAAAAAAAAAAAAACTTTAAATAAATAAATAAATTACACCATTCTGTGGTTTTGAATTTATCACGAGGTTGTACCACCATCGCTCCTAATTCCAGAATTTTTTTCATCCTAAAAAGAAGCCCCATACCCATTAGCAGTCACTCTTCATTAACATCTCCTCCACAGCCCCTGGCAACCACTAACCTACTTTCTACTTTATGTATTTGCCTATCCAGGTCATTTCATATAAATCGAGTCTTAACAGAATGTGACGTTTTGTATCTGACTTCTTTCGTTTAGCATATTTTCAGGGTTCAGATATGTTGTACTATTGCTTTTTATGGCTGAACAATAGTTCATTGAATGGATATACCACTTTTGTTTATTCATTCATCATTCATCAGTTGGTGGACATTTGGGCTTTTTCTACTCTGGCTGTTACGAATGTGCTATTGTGACCATTCATGTACAAAATGTGACTTATGTTCTCTTTTCTCTTGCATATACTTGAAAGTGGAATTGTTGGGTCATGTGATAACTCTCTTTATTTGATGAACTGCCAAACTGTTTTTCATAGCATTTGTACCATATCATGTTCCCACCAGCAGTGCATGACGGAATCCAATCTCTCTCTCTTGTTACTGTCCCTCTTATTGATTACAGCCATCCTAGTGATTATGAAGTGCTATCTCATTGTGGTTTTAATTTATAATTCCCTAATGGCTATTAAAGCTGAGCATCTTTTCATGTCCTTACTGGCCATTTTTATGAAGAAATGCTCATTGAAATCCTTTGCACTTAAAAAAAAATTTTTTTTTTCAAGGAATTTTAGGTTTACAGAGAAATTGAACAGAAAATACAGGGAATTCCTATAGAGGCCTTTGCCCCCCGTCCCCGCCCCCCCCCCCCCCCAGTTTCCCCTGTTACTAACATCTTGCATTAGTGTGGTATATTCATTACAATTGATGAGCCAATGTTGATAAACTTTTACTACTTAGAGTTCATAGATTACGGGGCACCTGGGTGGCTCAGATGGTTAAGCGTCTACCTTATGCTCAGGTCATGATCCCAGGGTCATGCAATCGAGTTCTGCATCAGGCTCCTCAGCAGGGAGCCTGCTTCTCCCTCTGCCCACTGCTCCCCCTGCTTGTGCTCTCTCTTTCTCTCTCTCTCACAAATAAAATCTTACAAAAAAAAAAAAAAAAGTTACTCCATGTCATTCCATGGCATGATAGCTCATTTATTTTTAGTATTGAGTAATATTCCATTGTCTAGATGTACCAGTTTGTTTATCCATTCACCTATTGAAGGTCATCTTAATTTCTTCCGATTTTGGTAATTATCAAAAAAGGCTGGGCACCTGGGTAGCCCAGTTGGTTAAGCGACTGCCTTCGGCTCAGGTCATAATCCTGGAGTCCCTGGATCGAGTCCCACATCTGGCTCCCTGCTCAGTGGGGAGTCTGCTTCTCCCTCTGACCCCCTCTCCTCCCATGCTCTCTCTCTCTCTCAAATAAATTAAAAAAAAAAAAAAAAGCCACTGTATGGTGCCTGGGTGGCTCAGTCGTTAAGCGTCTGCCTTCAGCTCAGGTCATGATCCCAGGGTCCTGGGATCGAGCCCTACATCGGGCTCCCTGCTTAGCGGGAAGCCTGCTTCTCCCTCTCCCACTCCCTCTGCTTGTGTTCCTGCTCTCGCTGTCTCTCTCTCTCTCTGTCAAATAAATAAATAGTTAAAAAAAAAAGGCCACTATAAACATTTGTGTCAACATCTGTGGACAGAAGTTTTCAGCTCATCTTACCAAGAAGTATAATAGCTGGTTCATAGGGTAAGGGTAGGTTTAGTTTTGTAAGAAACTGCCAGACCATGTTACAAAGTGACTATAGTATTTTGCAGCAATGAATCAGTTCCTTTTGTTCTATGTCCTCACTAGAATTTGGTGGTATCAGTGTTTTGGATTTTGGCCATTCTAATAGGTGTGTAATGGTATTGTGTTGTTTTAATTGCAATTCTCTAAAAATATATTCATATTATTTGCCATCTATTTCTTCATTAGTGAGTGTCCAGATTTCTTGCCCATTTTTAAGATTTTATTTATTTATTTGAGACAGAGAGAATGAGATACAGAGAGCATGAGAGGGAGGAGGGTCAGAGGAAGAAGCAGGCTCCCTGCCGAGCAGGGAGCCCGATGCGGGACTCGATCCCGGGACTCCAGGATCATGACCTGAGCCGAAGGCAGTCGCTTAACCAACTGAGCCACCCAGGAGCCCCATGTTCTTTCTTTTCTTTTCTTTTCTTTTCTTTTCTTTTCTTTTCTTTCTTTCTTTCTTTCTTTCTCTCTCTCTCTCTCTTTCTTTCTTTCTCTCTCTCTTTCTCTCTCTCTCTCTTTCTTTCTCTCTTTCTTTCTTTCTTTCTTTCTTTCTTTTTCTTTCTTTCTTTCTTTCTTTCTTTCTTTCTTTCTTTCTTTCTCTCTCTCTCTCTCTCTCTCTCTCTCTCTTTCTTTCTTTCTTTCT